AAATCGTTGATTGCAATGGTAACAAAATGTGTTTGTGAAACACTGATGCCTCCGTATGGCAACTTATAGCAAGGGTTAAACTTCCTAAAATGCAAATCAAATATGTTGATACCCAGAGTAAGGTTTTGTCTCGAGGAATAAACCCGTGAAATATGAAAGGCCTAGCAGCAACCATTGAATAGATATGAAAAAGGTTAAAGTTTTTTTTTCAAGTATGTCAAAGATCAAGGTCAAGGTCAAATGGTCAAAATTAATGGTACCAAAGGAAATGCCATCTCCCAAGAAATACACAGGTGAAATATGAAAGCCGAAGCACCAATCGTTCAAAAGTTATGACCAAGGTTAAAAGTTTTCCAAAAGTAGGTCAAACTCCAAGGTCAAAGGGTCAAAGCTGTTGGTATCCAAAGGAAGGTCTTGTCACAAGGATTACATATGTGAAGTATGAAAGCCCTAGCACCAACCATTCAAAAGTTATGGCCAAGGTTAAAGTTTTCCAAAAGTAGGTCAAAATCCAAGGTCAATGTCAAAAGGTCAAAGTTGTGGTATCCAAAGGAAGGTCTTGTCACAAGAATTACACATGTGAAATATGAAAGCCCTAGCACCAACTGTTCAAAAGTTATCGAAAGGTTAAAATTTTCCAAAAGTAGGTCAAACTCCAAGGTCAAGGTCAAAGGGTCATAGTTGTTGGTATCCAAAGGAAGCACTTGTCACAAGGATTACACTTTTGAAGTTGTGAAGTATGAAAGCCCTAGCACCAACTGTTCAAAAGTTATGGCCAAGGTTAAAGTTTGGTAAAATTTTGCAAAACTGGGTCAAAAGGTCATATATGGTGGTACCCAAGGAAAGGTCTTGTCATGTTGAATATTAAAGCCTAACCTTTGACAGCGCAATAGTTATGGGCTAGGTTAAAGCTGACAACAGACAAACAGAACAAAAACAATATACCCCCGGGATCTTTCGATCTCGGGGCATAAAAAATGGGAGCCATATTCACATGGAAAAAGAGAGATCTAAGTTGAAGGTAAGAGATTTTTGATATCCAAGAGATATGCCTACATGTATCAAGATGCCTTCGTGTAGCAAATGATAGAGGAGAAAACATACGAACAACAATAACAACAGATTCTTCGTGGTCTGAACTGAAGGGTAAATGAGAAATGAAGAGGTCAAGGTCAGAGAGAGGTTAAAAGTGCTGGGGTCAAAGAGTAAGAGTCCCTAAATTGCGTATGTATATGAAGGTAAAAGAAATAAATCTATCAGGATTGAAAGGAAATACGACACATACGGAAAGAAATTGAAGTCAAGGTCACAAGAAAGATCAAGATCTTCAACAATTGAACGCTGCATAAGCGTTTGCTAAGCAGCACAGAAAAACTGTTTTAATTGAGCTTCATATCTCCCTGTAATTAAGGAGAGGGGAAAGGGTGTTGTGTGGGGTGTAATGGTTTGGTCCTACACTTGAGTCACCAGAACATATTTCATGTGTGTACATTCACAGATGATACGGGTTATTGACTGAATATCTATTGAAAAGAATCATTAAAATTCTGAGGTTATTTCCCTTAGACACGGTACCTTTAGTGTAAATTGTAGAATTAACACATTTTCGGCTTCATCGGATTGAACAAGACATAAAGTTAACAAGAATTTTCATATCTGTAGTTACCATCTACTGCTCGTGTAAATATGCAAGCACTTGTAACCTGTAATTTAAAACTATCATTTTAGATCTGTAAAATTATAATGTTTAAAAACGAGATGAAATATATTTGAGAACTACATAAAAACTTGGAAGTTCCACGATGTAAGTTACTCTGGTTTCTCTTCAATCCACGATTAAATCTTTCGCCTTTTACTAAAGATTTCCGTGGAGAGGAACATTATTGAGTCTATAGACTTATTTTTGAAACCCTACGTACGTAGGGTTATATAAAATTCAAAATTAAATATACTGAAACGCAAAAGAAACGCAACTAGCAGTAATCTACAAATATTTGATCCTTTTAACTAATGATTTTCAAAACTGATTACAGTTAAGTTAAACTCGATTTAAAAGCATCAAAGATTTGATAACAATGTTAAATGATTACCTTTTAACTTTAGAAAGTAACACATGACTGTTAAAACACCCCCCTTCTCGGCCATTCAATTATAGCGTGGAAGACTGCCATGCACAGCAATTGCAGCTTGATTTCCACGATGCAGTAAGTTCATCAATCTCTGGATCTGAGCGAAAAAAATATTCTTTGCCATTTTTAAATGTCCGTTTTTCAGATGATGAAGTCGAATTTTCTCTAACCTAGCGCAGTGTTGTAACACTTGGACTTCCGGTCCACGGACTATCATTCATGCTAATGATACGTATGAGCCTGTTGAGGCGTGTTGTCGGGCATTTTTGCATCTGCAATTCTCCATCACCTTTATTTTCAGATTTTCCAGCTAGAGCATTTGAAATGCGTACTTAAGTCATTTTCAGGAAGCCTTGGCATCTCTTCCGGAAACGAAAGGAGAATTTATTTTGCGAAATATTGCTGCATTACTTATGATAAACAGATACAAACCCTTAAAACCCAGATTTTTGTCAAATTTTTTGTTAAACATGCAATTTTTTATTTCTGTTCAGCGGGCTCAAACTTAACTTCCGGTTATGACATGAAAATCATTCAACCGTTAAATTATCGATACTTACAATGTTGAAGATATCCGTACTTTTTAGATCCAAAATTATATCCTTTATATGATTTTCCCCTCTAAAATAGGATGTTGCGTTTCTTTTGCGTTTCAGTATAGTAGCCTGCATCATAACATACTTGCCTCGTATAAAGAAGTAATCATTGATTGCAATGGTAAACAAGAGGCCCAAAGGGCCTTAACGGTCACCTGAGTATGATACAACAATTTAAAGGATGCATAGAGTATAAAATAAACTGAAAGGTGAAGCTTTGTTGTTATTAAATTATCAATGCTTCTGTACTCCCTTGTTGAAATCTCTTACATTGGCCTCTCTTGGTCTTTGATGAACATTTAATAAGACAAGTTATTTTTGTCTCATTTTTATTTATCTACTACTTACAAGTCTATCTGATCATTAAAACTATGAAAGTACTTTATGTATTATTCAATAAAAATTCTTGCATAATTCTCTTATTCTACTTACCTTTCAAGTACATTATTTACAGTGATAAATTATCAAAAGTAAATGGCAAAGGGGAATAACTCCTCTCAGAAGAATACAAACTAATAGAACCATGGCCAGGACCAGAACACTTCACCAAATGGTTCAAATGTTAAAAAATCTGGTAAAAATTCCCTTCCTTATAAAAACTTTAACTCTGTTTGCCTTAGATATGCCCAGGTGCAGAGAAGATTTTCAAAGAAATAATGCATTTCATTTTTACTACAGATTCACTATATTATCAATAGAGCCGAGCCCCCCCCCCCCCCACCCCCACCCCCCACCCCCTCTCACCAGAACCCTTAAACCTGGGATCATAAAATTCACAATTTTGGAAGAGCCATCCTTGCGTATCATAACAATGTACTTAGTTTGTTTAAACAATACCCAGAAGCAGAGAAGAAGATTTTCAAAGAAATAATTCACCTTCACTATAGGATCTATATAGCCCCGCCCTAACACCAGAACTCCTGTCCCCGGGGGCATGAATTTCACAATTTTGGAAGAGGCATCCTTGCTTATCATAACTATGTATTTAATTGTTTCAATAATACTCAGGAGTAGAGAAGAAGATTTTCAAAGAATTAATGCATTTTCACTATATCATCAATAGAGCCCCGCCCTAACACCAGAACCTTGACCCCGGGGGCATGAATTTCACAATTTTGGAAGAGGCATCCTTGCTTATCATAACTATGTATTTAATTTGTTTCAATAATACTCAGAAGTAGAGAAGAAGATTTTCAAAGAATTAATGCATTTTCACTATATCATCAATAGAGCCCCGCCCTAACACCAGAACCTTGACCCTGGGGTCATGAAATTCACAATTTTGGAAGAGGCACTCTTGCTCATCATAACTATGTACTTAGTTACTTTATTTAATACCCACGAGCAGAGAAGAAGATTTTCAATGAATTAATGCATTTTCCCTATATAGTCAATAGAGCCCACCCTAACACTAGAATCCCTGACCCTGGGGCCATGAAATTCACAATTTTGGAAGAGGCACTCTTGCTCATTATAACTATGTACTTAGTTACTTTATTTAATACCCAGGAGCAGAGAAAAAGATTTTAAAAGAAATAATGCACTTTCTCTATATGATCTATATAGCCCCACCCTAGCACCAGAACCCCTGACCCTGGGGCCATGAATTTCACAATTTTGGTAGAGGGCTCAATGCTTATTACAATCATGCCAACAGTTTGACTGCTTGATGTCCAGGAGTAAAGAAGAAGATTTTTAAAGATTGCATTAATTTTGGTGGTTTTAGCCCCACCCCTCAGGCCCCAGGGGGGCAGGGACCATGAAATTCACAATTTTTGTTCCCCTTCATCCATAGATGCTATATGCCAAATTTGGTTGAAATTGGTTCAGTGGTTTCAGAGAAGAAGCTAAAAATGTTCAAAAGTTAACGCACGACGGACGACGCACGACGCACGTCGCACGACGACGGACGAAAACAGATAGCAATAGGTCACCTGAGTGACTCAGGTGACCTAAAAATGGGAGCCATATTCACATGGAAAAGGAGGGGTCTAAGTCGGAGGTAAGAGACTTTTGATATCCAAGAGATATGTCTACATATACTTTTGTGTACGTACTTTGTTATGGTCGGAAAGCTAAGTTGATTAGCGACAAGACTCCTTTAAGTGGTAAATTAATGTCATTAGTTGATGATATATCTTTGATTTTAAAAATGCTAAAATTTGTTTTATATACATGATGTGAGAATGAAACAGAGCGTGTCCTTTGTTGTAGCACTGATTGTATAAGAAGTCCGATTTCCACTGAAATAGAATATTTATTACATAATACCAGGTAAAGTAAATATAATATTTTTATTCATTTCTTGCAAAAAAAATTCTACACAATTTTATGTTTAAAGTCCACCGGATAACATATCTTAATTCTGTGAAGTGTCATTTGGAAGCCTGTATGTCTTTTGTAAAATCCTCCTTGATTTGTTTAAGAAGTTCTGGATTAGTGAAGACGTCTATTGCAGTCATTGCTAGTGCCTTTCCTTGTGTCAATGTGTAAGGTTGAGCGATAGGATCACCTGTAATTAGAATAAAAATCAACGTTTCTTTAAAAAAAGGAGGAGGTGGTCTTTATGTAATACATCGAACAAGCAAATGAGCAAACTTTAGTACTAATGAAGCATGACAAACCACCCCTTCCTGTGACAGAGGTGTACCTTTCCTTTTTTTGGCATTTTTTTTAAATGTAGAGGTTTGTGCCTCTTACTTGGAATAATTCTCATTTTAGATAATAAAAGGATATAAAAATGATAGCTACAAATATGTTGCATCTCTCATGTTGGAAGTCACATTCGACACAGCTATTTCTAATCGAAACATAGGCGGGCATGAATGATCATTGTCAAATATATCTTTATTATGCGTCCCTTCAGTGAGTTGTGTGGACAGGGAATACCCTTTCTACCTCCACTCACTAACTCCCCCATCCCTAGCTTTTACCCCTCCTCTCTTTCCCTTCTTTTACTCTTTCCCCCTTTCCACCCCTAGCTCCATGCCTCTTCTCTACCCATCTATACATTAAATCCCTTTTCTTCCTTTTTTCTTTTTCCTGTTTTTCCCTTTACTCCCACTCTCTACATTCTCCTTTCTTTCCTTCCCCTTTTTCTTTTTCCTGGTTTTCCCTCTATTCCCATTCACTACATCTTTCCCTATCCTTCCCTCCTCCTTTTTCTTTTTTTCTGTTTTTCCCTCTCCTCCCTCTCTCTACTTTCTTCTGAATCCTTCCCTTTTTTCTTTTTCCTAGTTTTCATTAAACCCCCACTCACTACATCCTTCCCCATTCATGCCAATCCCCATCCTTCCTCTTTTTATTTTACCTGCTTTTCCCTCTTCTCCCTCTCTCTACTTTCTTCTGCCCCCTTCCCTGTCTTTTTCTCTTTTTTCTGGTTTTCCCTCTACTCCGACTCACTACATCTTTCCCCCTCCTTCCCTCCCCTTTTTAATTCTTTTTTCTGGTTTTCCCTCTACTCCGACTCACTACATCTTTCCCCCTCCTTCCCTCCCCTTTTTAATTCTTTTTTCTGGTTTTCCCTCTACTCCAAATCACTACATCCCTCCCAATCCTTCTCTCTCCTGTGTTTATTTTTCCCGATTTTCAGTCTATTCCCTCTCTCGTCTTTCTTCTGCCTTCTTCCCCATTTTTTTCTGGTTTAAACTCTATCCCCACTCACTGCATTCTTCTCTCTCACTCCTTACTCTTTTCTCTAACTTTCACCTTATCCACTCCCATTGCTACATTTTACGATGGCGAAATAAACGAATACCTGCTGCTGCTGTAAATTCACGTGTATGATTAAGTGCATCACTGCCGATATAAAACATTGGATGTATGCTTGGTACGGTGTAAGAAACATTTCCCATATCTGTGGATCCACCTCCCGGAAATTCTTTTTCCGGAATTCTACTTACAAGACCCAGTGTCTTGATATTCCCTTCGAAAGCTCTTAGAAGCGATTTGTTGTGAATGACGTCAAGATAGGGTCGTTCGTGAAACTTTAGTTCCATCTGTAAAAAAAATTAAGAAAATGAGAAACATTAACCAATAATGCATCCATAAAGGATATTCTTTTTATTTCTATGAATTTTCTGAGTCCATTTGCTGTTTGCAAATGTAAATGAAAATAATATCCCTATTTATTGTAAAGTTGTCTTTAATATACAATCATGTACTATGAAGTTCAGGGTAAAACGTTTGGGGGTAATTTTAATTAACAAGCGGGATCAGTATATTCTGAACAGAAAATGAGGAAATGTTGTTAAACTCCAGTCACATTTCCAAAAAACGACCAAGGGACAATGTATTTTGAGGCAAAAATTGGATTCTTCGGGCGACAGTCGGCAGTTCATCAGTCGCTATCTTACCCGATTTTGGCCTCTTTTTTCGTCGGCCGACCAATTTTGTGTCCGTCGGGCCCAGTTATAATTTTTTCTGTGTCGATGGCTGATTTCTTCAATTGAAGCAGTCATTGAATAGTCCGTCGACCAACCCTCGACTCTTTGTAATATACCAAATATTTGTAATTAGTTTTTAAACATGTTTCAAAATGTCTCGGAAATATGTTCCAAAAATTGCAGTATCAGCAATTCTTGCAGTATCAGCAATTCCAATAGGATCCTAATTATAGGAATTTTCATCCTTTGGAGTTTTTCACAAATGTCTGGTAATGTACCTCTTTTTTTGTGAGGAAACTAGTTAAGGTAGCAATTCTTCAATGAAATAAATATTTTTATACATATATCATTGATGAACGTATCATCAGACCTTAATTAGACGCTAAGTACTAGTAAGCGGGTCAATAACTCTGATGATGGGCCCGAAATAGACGTCACAGTCAGTCCAAGATTAAAATTATTGGACCACTTCCCTCCTTTATTTTGAAGGACTCTCTCTCTCTCTCTCTCTCTCTCTCTCTCTCTCTCTCTCTCTCTCTCTCTTTGTGTGTGTGTGAATTTTGATCATACTGTGCATCCAGTTGCCGTGGCAGCGCTCTGGAAGCATCTCGTGACTTTCTCCTTCAGAATGTCCACTTCAAGTTTTGTAGGTGCTCGCACATAAAACTCCAATTCTGTTTCATCTGGTATGATGTTTGGTTTTGTGCCGCCTTTTGATATTATTCCTATAAATCATATCAAACTTACTTTTCTACAAGAATGCTCTAATATTCACGAAATAAAAGACGCATTATTAAATGAATCGAAGGTACGTTTGGTAGTAATTTTCATCAAAGTAGGCATACGAATAGAAAAGGCATTCGAGTATTTCCTTCCTTAATTTTTTTCGCCCCTCTAAACAAATGGTTTATTGTTACGGTTTCCAAAATCTTAAAAGAGCCACTGTCAGTGGAATAGTATCATAAAACAAAAGAAAATTTGCAAATTTCGAATTGAAAAAAGAGAAAAAACTTGTATCTTGGACTTGATTATAAGATAAAGTATACGTACCATGAACGCGCCATGCTGGCTTCATCTGCTGCCGAAGGTTAGACACTGACTGATAGGCGTTCACTGCTGCGTCAAGAGCGTTGACACCTTCCCATGGAAACGCTGCCGCATGTGACGCCTTACCTTTGTATGTAACTATTACCCTATTTGAATAGTAATATAAAAAATGTTTAAGTTAGACGTAAATAATAATAGATTTTCGAATATAGTTTAGTATAAAAGGGTGTAATGTTAGGTACAAATAGTATTCGAATTGATAAATTTTAAGATTGAAGAAAGCGTGCATCTGTATTGCGTTGAAGCTTATAGCTGATGAGTCCATTGGTGCTGGATGTGACATCATCGCTACGTCAATCCCCTCAAACATGCCCTGCTCTAATAAGACGATTTTACCTCCGCCACCCTCCTCTGCCGGGGTCCCGATCACAGACAGCTACAAGAATTATAGTCAATTCTTAAGTCAATAGTATTTTTAAAAAATAGGTAAAATATAAACATAAGAAACAAGATGTGTTTGTGAAACACTGATGCCCCCGTAAGACAGCTTATGGCGAAAATTAAAGTTTCTCAAATGAAAGTAAAATTCCAAGGTCAAGTTCAAGAGATCAAAAATGTTGTTACCCAGAGAAAGGACTTGTGTTAATGGATATACCTGTAAAAATTGAAAGCCCTAGTACTACATGTAACTGTTCAAAAGTTATGGCCAAAGTTAAAGTTTTTTTAAAAGTGGGTCAATCTCTAAGGTCAAGATCAAAAGGTCAAAAATACACACATTCGAAGGTCTTGTCACGATGAATACACATGTGAATATGAAAGTCCTAGCACCAACCGTTCAAAAGATATGGCCAAGGTTAAAGTTGGGTAATTTTTTGCAAAAGTGGGTCAAACTCCAAGGTAAAGGTCAAATATTTAGATACCCCGAGGAAGGTCTTGTCAGAAGGCATACACATGTGAAATATGAAAGCCATAGCTTCAACTAATCAAAAGTTATGGTTAAGGTTAATGTTTTCTAAAAGTGGCTCAAACTCCAAGGTCAAGGTCAAAAGGTCAAAATTGTTGGTATCCAAAGGAAGGACTTGTCACAATAAATATACCTGTGAAAAGTGAAAGCCCTATTGCTAACTGTTCAAAGGTTATGGCCAAGCTAATGTTGAAGTTTTTTTTTAAAAGTCGGTCAATCTCTAAGGTCAAGGTCAAAAGGTCAAAAATATTTACACCCATGAAAAGGTCTTCTCAAAGTGAATATATATGTGAAGTTGGGTATTTTTTGCAAAAGTGGGTAAAACTCCAAGGTCAAGAGGTCAAATATGTGGTACCCAGAGGAAGGTCTTGTTACAAGGAATACACGTGTTAAATTTGAAAGCCATAGCTTCAACCAATCAAAAGTTATGGGCAACTTTAAAGTTTTTGCTGACAAACAGACAGACAGATAAAGAGAAAACAGACAGGCAGACAGACGGACAGGGCAAAAACTATATACCCCCGAATCTTCGATTACGGGGGCATAAAAATGAATTAAAATTACTTATCAATTTTTTTTTTTGTTTTTTTTTTAAATGTCATGCAAAAATGTATGAATTCGATATTTTACGTTTCCCCCATGTTTCTTCCTAAAAATATCATACTCGAGTTTATTCAAAAATAAAATAAAGAGGTGAATCAGGTGATCGCATATCTGTTCTCGAATCAAGATTAAGAACATTGCTTTATTTGATTGATTGTATGTTGTTTAACGTCTCTCTCGAGAATTTTTCACTCATATGGAGACGCCACCACTTGCCAGTGGAGAGCTGCAAATTTTGTCCTATACTCGGCACTTACGGCCATTGAGCAGTGAGGGATCTTTTTCGTGCCAGCACCTACTGCGAAACGGGACCTCGGTTTATACGGTCTCATCCGAAGGACCGGTCTCCACGTCCCACAGTGGGATTCGAACCCGCGAAGTAAGGATCAACTCCTTACTTCGCGACTCTAGAGCAGACGCTCTAACCACTGCGCCACGCGGGCGACTGCTTTATTTGAAGGAATACCCCGGATCTCTCAATGATTATCATTAAATCCGAAAGTGTACAGTTTTAAAAAAATCATAATCACAGATATACTTAAAAGATGTTTTTACTAGGGCTGGGACGATATATTGATATATCGATAATATCGATTCAATGTGAGGATAATACGCATATCGATACATATGAAAAAATTTCGAAATATCGCAAAAAAAATTCTGACTTATGTTTTTCTTTGTTTACTTAACATTTTGGGTTAAATATATAATATAGATATGCTAAATATTAATATTAATATGAAATACATAATAATTAACATCACTTGTGTAAAATTATTTTCTTTTACAACAGGTATACAACTTCTTTGAAAAATTATTCTTATTTGTGAAGAAATGTTTTGTTTATTTCAATATTAAAAATTTTTTTATAACCAATTCAACATATCGTGATACATATCGTATCGTGGCTCAAACATCGTGATACATATCGATATAGAAAAAGTTGTATTGTCCCAGCACTAGTTTTTATAGTATATATATTAGATATATTTATCTAATTTACTCCGAAAAGATAGTATGCGTTTTTACCTGGGACAAGTATGTAGGTCAAGAATCTTGTCTCTTACTTTACATACACAATATAAACTAAAATAATTCATGGTCACGGATTATTTTAGTTTATACTGTGTATGTAAAGTAAATATGAAAATGTCTATGGAACCGTTTAACTGCGTGTTTTACTACAGTCATATCATCATAATCCATTTACAAACTGCAACAAAGTTGTTTTCCTTGATACTTTATATGTGAATATGTTCTAATCAACGTTTTAAGAACTCTTGAATTATTTTCAGACAAAAGAGGTTTTTGTTATACCTTTAGAAATTGGATCCTATAGAAATCTATACTTTAAAAAAAGTCGAACATTTCCAGTGTTTTACTGAGCGGTCATAAAAAAATCGATGTTTGACCGAATGAGAAATTGGGCCGCTTACGTCACGATGTGGGCGGAATCAGCTAAATCTTATTTGCATAAATGTAGTAACATTTAAATTTTCATGGAAACCAGCACAAAATTGTATATGTATGTCAAAAAAGTTAAAAGGTATAACAAAACATTTGTTGACTGTGTTCCCAGGCAAAAAGCGTTTTGTCGATCCCTCGAACCAAACTCTTTGCCTTCGGCCTTACGGCCTCAGACAGTTTGGTTCTTGGGTCTGACTCGAACCCAGTCAATAAATGTATATTGCTTGATATAAATATTTAGTTGTCTGATAATAAATGTAATCCACAGAACCATACGAGACTTATGTGAACAAGCCAGTTTTGCACTTAACAAATATAAATCATTGTAAACATGCTTTGCATCCTAATTTAGGACATACTGTTGAATTAAACACCATGCCAGGAATTAAGTCACCAGCATCTAAGTGACTAAGTGACAGTATTTTATGACGTATCTGTCAAAAACACTACATGTGTGAATCATAAAAGATTTCAAACTGTTGCAGTTTATAACCTCGCAGTACTAATAAAACTAAACTAAAACTAAACTAGACACTGTCTTAAGACAATTATACCTGCACGTTAGTGTTTGTCTCTAAATGTTTTCACCTTTATTTGGACAACAAGGGAAGAAGCCGCGATAATTCTATAATTTACAATAAAAAATCTGTTTTCGACCCCTAATTGCCTCCAGTGTGACAATCTAAATTCTTAAACCTTAATTGCACATTTTCAGGACACCACCGACCACCATCTGAAAGATGATTTGGTTAATACTCCAAAAAATGTAAGCGAAGTTACGTGAACAAGGTTTCTGTAGAAAAAATTCTCTTTTGACCCCCAATCATCCCCTAATATGAAAATCTAATTTCTAGAACCTTTTTGCACATGTACAGAACACCCCCGATCGTGTTTCAATATGAATGGGCTACTGCAAAAAATGTTAGAAGAGTTCAGGAATGAAATATATAGAGATAACGAACAGTATTCAAGCTCAAAAGTCCATTAAACAATACAAAATAGGAGCAGAGCAAACACAGACCTCCAAAACATCAGAGGTATGATCAGGTGCCTTGAAAGAGTGAGTATCCCCTGCCGACCGGTCACACCCGCCGTGTGCTCCTTGTCATGATCGGTCGACAATTCAGTGTGTAAATAATGGCCTAACAATTAGCATGAAAAACGTCAGACAGCATTTGACTCAATGATAAATTGTATTTGCTGACAAGGTCATTGTATCGACCATAGAACTTACGAAATGATGACTTTAAACGAGACGGCTGATATTCTTGTTTCATCAACTTGTTTGTTAATAATTTACCTTTTTAGAAATTGTACATTCGTAGAGCAATCAGGTTTTGAAGAAAAACGACAGTTGGTGGACACATTCAGGACTTTCCACTCCCGAAAAGCCCGATCAACGTTATATGGTTTTACAAAGATGTATATATTTTAGGGATGGCAACGAATATTCGAACATTCGAATATTCGTTCGATGAGTTGATATTCGAATATGAATTTAAGATTCGATTATTCGGTGTTTTTCAGATTTCATAAAAAGAAGTACTGTGATTAGTAAATTTTGATTAGAACAGAGCTGGAATTATCCCTGTTTAATTTACTAGAGATCAATTTCGATCGCCTGATTTCTTTAATTACTTTCTTAGCTTATAAATATACTAAATAACATGTATTTTGTTTTGAGTAAAGTGTTAAAGAATTGAACAGTAATGCTTTATCTATAATACAAAACGTACTTTCATAGTTTTTATTAGTTAGATACGATCGGATCTAGAATCAAGGACAACAAATGAAATCTAAGAATGTCTAAAAGGCGTGAACTTATCAAAATAAAATTAATTGATCATTGAATGGATGTCCGATAGAATTAACCTGTAATTAATATTGTAAAGAGCTTAATTTCAGAGTAAATGTGTAAATTACTTGATTATCTCGGGTTGTACATAATCCTGAATTTTATTTTCATTATCGGGAAATTAGTTAATTTTCTAGGAAAATTGTCTATGGAAATATTTGTTTTCATTGTATCAAAGATTACAATCATATCTCTTATCAGGCAGATAATTGTAATACGAGGGCTGTTCGGAAATTATTGAGACATTTTGTACATTTTTCTTTCTAATGAACGTCTTTCGGTGAAAATTTGCATATAGGTTTGACAAACATTAACGTAGAACATACGTCGTATGATGTCATATCAAGTAAATGAGTTTAGACCGTCTCTTTTGGTGCTAGATCCATTATAACGTCATAATTAATTTAATGTTACTTTTTCCCGTACTTTCTCCAAGACTGTCTCATGTAATGAAGTTCTCCAAGACTGTCTCATGTAATGAAGTTACACAACTGTGATAATGTGAATGGCATGCAACTATTTTGAAGGCAATCAAAAATCTCAAGAAATCTAAATAGTACAATATCTTGATGAAATGTGTCTGAGTCAAAGATCTGTTAAAAATTGTATGTAAATTTTGTAATGTCTATCATGATATGACTTGCCTTGAGTCATTCCCTTTCATAATTATGTGTTAATTATTCATAATGTTTGCTGTATATTAATAATGTTTCCCTAAAATATTATCTTTTTAAATAAAAAAAAAATTACATTTTTTGATAAATAGTAACATTGTTAATCTGAACGTAACCTCCAAAAACAGTCATTTAATAATTAAATCCTGTGTAAGTGCAAAAAGGTCAACAAAAGAAGTATTGATAAATAGAGTATCTCTCATTCGTTTGAGGGGAAAGGTATATATTTTAATCACTTTTTGTAATTATTTGGGTATTTCTTCATCATATTAAAGATTGAAAACATTCTGACAAAGACTTTTGAAAAATATTTATAAATTAAGGTGGTAAATGGACTAAAAAAAAAATTATGGAACACATTTGCCTATATTTGTTTAAATGTGGACTTAATCTTTTATGTCAATTGAATAAAACAGATTTTTTTTTCTTGAATAATATTGCTTAATACGGTTCAGTTAATAAAGTCTATAAACGACGATGTTTGAAGAAGTATTGATGTGATTTTCTATATTCTCTTTATGACCAGTACCCCTAAAAATGACTGAAAATATGTAGTCGCAGTGTAAAATTATCATTCCAAGTTGCACAGGCTGCACTAAATTTAATAACAAGGAAACATACCACATATTTTTAACTGATTGATTAGCGAGTGCTAATTTATCATTTTAAAAAAGTTTGAAAATCTTGTGACAAAGACTTTTCCGACATTGGTTCTACCTTAAGAATTCATAAAAGCAAGAAATATTTTACAAATATTATATTTCTTCTCTTCAATGGTATATATATGTGTCAATGGTAGGGGTACCCGGCGCAGTCACGAAATCAGATATTGAAAATATGTAACACCAATGTTCAACACCCCGGTGGACCCATAATAAGAGCGAAAATAATTTAATTTATGTATATAATTTTTTAATTTTATTTTGACTTCATGTTGTGCAAGTTTGTTAGAATTCTGATCAGAAATGCGGAGATCATTAAAAAAAATTAAGCGCGGTAAAGAAATCTGATAACGACGACAAAATGGATTTAGACGTCAAGGCGGAGCAGCGAGATACCTAAAATTTTGTGTAGCGGTATGTAAAACTCCTTTCCAGACTGACCAACCTGCTAAAACAATAACAACGAGAAAAAACATGTCTAAGGTTTTGTTACATGTATTTCATTGGTATATATTTTTTTCTAACCTATAATTCAACTACAGTAAAATCAAAAGCTCCGGACGACCATCAATTTTTACCGTAACGGAAATTAATAAAGTTGACCCGCGTTGCATAAATCGGCACTGCATGATGCTAGGTCGTCCTGTATAAATGACGCATGAAAAATTTACAATAGTGAAACAACAGCACACATTTTTTAAAGAATCGTTTAAGAAAAAAAAACAGTTTGATTTTTGTAGTGTATATAATTATGATAAAAAAGAAAGAAGAGTAAACGCTTCCCGATCGTTTCACATGCAAAATCATCTCCGGCTGACGTGACGTTAAAATGACGTAGCGATGCTGCTCCAGGTCGATAGACATATGCATGTTTATTATTTCACCGGAACTTCTCTAGTTATCCTTTAAATTAGAAATTTTGTATAATTGTTTTATTCATTCTTTATGAAATGTTGACGAATTTTCCTGAAATTATCTTTGCCTTTTATGGAGTTAAAGCAATTGTCTCAATAATTTTCGAACAACCCTCGTATATTACACGTACTAAAATCTGAACAGTATACCGTTACGACTATCATGCCTTTTGTAGACGACTGGTTCCTCAGTTGGATCTACTATAAATACACGTTTCATTTGTTAAAATTATACTTTTCTACATTTAAATCAATTATTTATTTCAAACATTGACAAATATCAAATGGAATTTCTTATTGTACACCTACAAAAGTATTCATACGATTTTACTTCCAATATAAGTATACCTACGCTAAACCTTTCATGAGAGTAGGATGATGCATATTTAAAATAAAACAGATTTTATTTATTTTATCGAATATTCGAATATATTCGAATACTTTCATTGAATATTCGAATATGAATAATTGACAAAATTGACATCCCTAATATATTTGGTGTATTTTTTCAAGTTTCCTATTTTGGGAAAAATACTTTTATCCGTATTTTGTATCATACAGACAATCTTTAAATGGATGATAGCAATCGAAAGGGCAAAAAATGTTAATGTTGCAATCATGAATGACTGAAGGAAAAGTACAAATATTCGTAGTTTGACTGAAGAGTTAATTTCAATTAATTCGTCTTCTTAAGTGGCTGGCAATTATGAATTAATAAGCATGTTAGATAGTGGCAACAATGTTTGTGGTGCTTAGCGCAGTGGTTAGAGCGTTTGCTCTAGAGTCGCGGAGTAAGGAGTTGATCCCTATGTCGCGGGTTCGAATCCCACTGCGGCACGTGAAGACCGGTCCTTCGGATGAGACCGTATAAACCGAGGTCCGGTGTCGCAGTAGGTACTGGCACGAAAAAGATCCCTCACTGCTCACTGGCCTGAGTGCCGAGTATACGTCTAAAATTTGCTGTCCTCCACCGGCAAGTGATGGCGTCTCAATATGAGTGAACGTATGAGTGAAAAAGTAACGTTAAATAAACAAACAAACAAAAAGTTGTTTGTGTCATTTGTCCTTTTGGATTTTTGACAGCGGTGAGAAATAAAATGCATGGTGACATTACATGCCCTAACATACCTTTCCTAGAGGTTTTCCAGCAGCTTTAAACGCCGCCTTGATTCCTAATCCGGCAGCAACCCCTGCCTCTGCAATCAAGTTATGTCCACAAGCATGACCAATTCCCGGAAGTGCATCGTATTCACACAGAACTGCCACGTGCGGACCATGAGAGTTGTCTCCAAGAACTGCCCGGAAGGCTGTGTCATTTTTATACTTCCGGTCCACAGGAAACCCTTTGTCCTCCAAAAACTTCGTTAGATAATCATGGCTATAAAACTCCTCGAAATTTAATTCAGGATGGGACCAGACTTCTTTGCTAAGTGTATGTAATTCATCGGCGTATTCATCAATAGCCTTGCAAGCGATTTGCTTCAAATTCGACATCGTTCTAATCTATACACGAGCCTGCCAGAATACGTTTATATACCAGGTATATAATATAATCAGGTGTTTGTTTGCATTGACAATCACAACCCTCAGTGGAGATGCATGAATTATATCTATTACAGCCGCGTCCTAAATACGAAAGGTATTGCTGTGCATTTTAAATTTAGCAGGGTACGTTAAGGTAGGAAAGCAATATGGGACACATTTCAGAGGAGATACCATCAATCAGGCTCCTTGTGTGTCAGTGGACTGTCTGTTATTTGTATATCATTATACACATTCATTCAGAATGTACGAGCATTAGCAAGAAACCTCAACAGAAAGAATTTCGTTTAATTTTAAACAATTCATACTTCACCTTTTAAGAGTTTTTCCTACCGTAATGCTGTTAAAAATTTGCACAATTCGATCATTTCCGAAAGTTGTAAATTTTGGCATTTAAATTTTTTTAAGTTCAACAAAAAAAGCTATGCACTAAAAAAATATTATTTGTTGTTTTGACAATAAATTTAACAAGTTCCAATCATAGTCCAAAAATTAACCCCCGTTTTTATTTTTTGTAAAAAAAAAAAAAAAAAAAATCTTTTCAAGGATTCTCTTTTAAACAGAATTTAAAGAATTATTGTGGTTTTTTCCTGATTATCCAAATATGAAGGAGATCGAGTGCATTTAGAGGCAAACACGTCAGTGCGGGTATTACTGTCTTGTGACAGCATCTAGTTTGAATTGCAAGAGACCACAAATAGCTGGCTTTTACAGTGGAAGGTTTCAAGGTTGAGGAGGAAGGATAGTCCAAGCACTTTTATCTGAATAGGATAATAATTATTCTACATTGATTGACAAATTATTGCTGGCAAACCATTTATAGTGCGTATTCTGGGACCAAAACACAATATATGTATTAGATTTAGGTTTTACACATAAAACGCAAGGATTCAGTCTGAATATATGGTAAATACAGTTCCTATGGGGGCAACACATCGTCTCGGCATTAAACTTGTGCGGCCCTCAAGTTATTTTCGTACTCTTGAGTAAATGACAAAAAAACGAATACGGAAATGGTGATGATGTAAATAAAATAAAATGAGTGTGTTGGTCTGATTTTGTTCTCGTTTTTTGATAATTCACTTTTCATCTTTTTCATTACTTGTGTTACAAAGTTTGTCTTCTATTTTGATTTTTAGCTTCATTCTGCTTGATTAAAAATCTTTAAAACGCTCTTCCTCCTACAGTTTTTCCCTCGATTCCCTATATGTAGAATATATACATATAGGTTAATAACCTTCTTTATTGTGAGTGTGTGTGTGTGTGTTTTATTTTGACGAACGGTAATCATGGTTTCTAAATATTAGGGATGGCAGTTGGTACCCGGTTAACTGATTGCAACTGAACAATGGTAATAAGTTACAAATTATGTAATCAGCTAATCGGAAAAGAATTAAAATGTGTGTATTTCTGATCACAATTTCAACAAAAATTTTATTTCAAATTCAGTTAGAAAAATTAATCACTGTTGAGTATTGCAAAGTAGAGAGAGAGAGAGAGAGATACAAATAATTTTGTACATATACATATCCTGATATATTAATTAATGCTAACAATGAAATCTACCTGAATGTTTAATAAATGTTTGAACAAAAGAAAAGAGACGTTCATTTACTGCAGCATTCAATGAATCTACCCCCCCCCCCCCAATAAGACATGTGTATCTAGAATATGGATTTTGTCAGATTGTAACAATTTATTTAAAAATTCATTTCTGGCTTTCACATACTTTGGACATACAAAAAAATAATGATATGTATCCTTTACTTTACCACACGAGTATAAAGGACTTAACATTAAATTGCATCTATAAAGGTCGTTATTCAATACACAATTGTGCCGTAGTCTAGTTTGAAGAACATTTAGTCGTCTGTTACCGTAATCAAAGAATAATGGTGGAGCAGATTTTTATGCCCCCGGATCGAAAGATCCCGGGGGTATATTGTTTTTGTCCTGTCTGTCTGTTTGTCTGTTTGTCCGTTTGTCTGTTTGTCTGTCTGTCTGTCTGTTGTCAACTTTAACCTTGCCCATAACTTTTGATTGGTTGGAGCTATGACTTTCATATTTCACATGTGTATTCCTTGTGACAAGACCTTTCTTTGGGTACTATCATATTTTGATCTTGACCTTGGAGTTTGACCCACTTTTGCAAAATTTTATGAGACTTTAACCTTGGCCATAACTTCTGAACAGTTGGTGCTTGGGGTTTCAAACTTCACATGTGTATTCTTTGTGACAAGGCCTTCCTTTGGATACCAACAACTTTGACCTTTTGACCTTGGAGTTTGACCTACTTTTGAAAAACTTTAACCTTGGCCATAACTTTTGAACAGTTGGTGCTTAGGGTTTCAAACTTCACATGTGTATTCCTTGTGACAAGACCTTCCTCTGGATATCAACCACTTTGACCCTTTGACCTTGACCTAGGAGTTTGACCTACTTTTGAAAAACTTTAACCTTGGCCATAACTTTTGAATGGTTGATGCTAGGGCTTTCATACTTCAAATATGTAATCCTTGTGACAAGACCTTCCTTTGGATACCAACCACTTTGACCCTTTGACCTTGACCTAGGAGTTTGACCTACTTTTGAAAAACTTTAACCTTGGCCATAACTTTTGAATGGTTGGTGCTAGGGCTTTCATACTTCACATATGTAATCCTTGTGACAAGATCTTCCTTTGGATACCAACCACTTTGACCTTGACCTTGACGTTTGACTTTTATTTAAAAAACTTTAACCTTCGCCATAACTTTTGAACAGTTGTATCTAGGTCTTTCAAATTTCACAGGTGTATTCCTCGAGACAAGACCTTTCTTTGGGTATCAACATTTTTTATCTTTTGGCCTGGATTTTGACTTGCATTTGAAGAAACTTTAACCTTCGCCATAAGCTGCCATACGGGGGCATCAGTGTTTCACAAACACATCTTGTTTAGTACTAATTTTAGATTTGAATCTTGACATTGACTGTAAATTTCGAAATTTCGAGTGGAATTGAGTTCCATTCATTAACTATAGTAGGAATAAATGTAGACTTACAAGTTTGTAATCGACATTTTGGAATATCATGATTTTGAGAATTTCTTGTAGAGTAAATAGTTGTGTTACAGCGCATATCTGGAAGTATGTCCATTAAGTAATCAGGCATTAATTATTATGAAGCTTGAACATTGTTAAATTCTTTCAAAACGCTATTCCGCCTACAGATTTGTTCCGATTCTACAAACCTTTAAACTCATACATACTAAACCGAGTGAAATTCTTTCAAAATACTATACTGGATCCTTGTACAATTTTGATATTTTGAGTAAAACAAAACTTGATACAAGTTTACACCAGGATACATAATTCAATGAAATATAACGATAACGAAAAGTAATCGTAGCATATAGAACCCCCTCCTTACATAGCATCCCTGAAATGGGCCGGGGTTATTACCCCCCCCCCCCCCGTAAAAATGACTCTATCTATCATAAAATTTACCTCTAGAAAGAAACAACCCGGGCCCAATTTTCCTCCGTAGGAAAAACGGCACCAGTATAGAATTTCCCCCTAATTGACAGTACCCCATCCCTTTTTTCTATCCGTTTCCGCTTCTGTTACTATAATGTTATTAATCCATCTGAACTATAAGGACTATATAACAGAACAACTTAATCAGGGATGGGGTAATGGTAATGTGTAATGGTAATTGACCGTAATTAAGTACAAATTTCGATGTAATTGAAAGTAATGTGTAATTGACCAAATTTTCAATTACATGTAATTGTAATTAAATTAATTACTTTCGAGAAAAAGCATGTTATTCACAATTACTTTTCAATTACATTCAATTACAATGATGTATATTGAATGAAAAATACCCCACTCCCCTCCTGACACAATATTCAGAAAAGCTTAACTGATCTTTTTGACAAAATATTTTGATAGTTATTTTTGTTAAAGCAATTTAAATATTTGTCCTTCTTAGTGATTTTTTTTCTCTTGTGCATTTTCTTTAAAACTTTTGAATCCAAATAATATCTCTGTGTTTAATATACATATAAATTAATAATTTTGGTTAAGTTGTTTATTAACTGACAGTTAAATTTAATAGTCCAAGGGCTTCTAATCCTTTGTTTGTCAAAAACCAACATTTTGAGAAATCTTAGAATGCTGAAAAGGGAACCATCAAGGCAAAATGCATCCATTGTTTTACATAAATATATCAGAAAGCTTAGAAATATGACATAAAATTTTGTAAACATATGAATAAGGTAAAAACATGAGTAAACTTGTTAGTCATTATCCTATTCCTGTCACATATGCCCCAGCAGAAAGAATTTTCAGTGTGGCAGGAAAAAACGTCAAACCTGATAGACGTAGGTTAGGGAACACAATATTTGAAACATCGATAGACATCTAATGTAAATGTTGAACAAAAATGTTGTAACTGAATCTGATATGAATACAAAGGAACGTTCATGACTATTTGGGTGTTTTCTTAAAATGTAATTTGTAGTTTAATTAATTACATTTGCAAAGTAATTGTAATTTAATTAATTACATTTCAAAATCCTTGTAATGGTAATTTAAATAAAGGTTTTGGGCAAGTAATTGTAATTTAATTAATTACATTCCTATGTAATTGACCCCAAGAAAATAAAAGAAAATAATTGAAATTGGTAAATAATGAGTATGAATGTGGCTTAGTAGAAAAAAAACTGAGCTCACAAAATGATACCCTGGTTCCGCTCCCGTATAACAGCGAAGACCAATATTGAGACTTTCTCACAATCGTTATTATACCGTGCCATTATGCACCTCCTATTTTTTCGTTTAGATCAGAAGTTATTTGCTATGAAAAAGCGCAAATAACTTCTGATCAAAACGAAAAAATAGGAGGTGCATAATGGCACTATTTAATAAAGACTCTGGGAAAGTCCCTTTAAATGTTTTTCTTTAGTTTGAGATGGATGCCCCCAGTATTATAGAAAGAGTGGCAATG